GCCCTGTGATAGACTGGTGACCTGTCCAGGGTGTCTCCTGCCTTCGCCGTAAGTCAGATGGGATAGACTCCAGTCCCCTTGCGACCCTCATAAGGATTAAGCAGTGTATAGAAAATGGATGGATGGTTCCATTTAGAATATAGCAATTAAAAAAAACCCCAAAAAAACAACCAAAAAGACATTTTTTTTTTCTTGGTTAAGACGGCCTGCTTATGTTTACAGGAGCTCCTCTTCCCCTCTCTGCCCTGCGCCTCCTGGTCTCTCCACTTCAGCTGGTCTCAGCAGCGATGTGGCAGACTCTACAGCAGAAGGTTGTGGCTGACTATGGGATGGTTGAGGAGTTTGTGTCCATGGTTACAGACATCGTTCCAGAGCTACTCACCAGCCAACAGAGGGCCCAACTCATCCTGGGCCTCAAAGCACGGGTGAGGACAGTAGTAACATCTGAAGAGTGATGCAGTAGTTGTGTTTTCTTCTGGCTTCTTCTACTTTATTCACTCCAAAGTAGACACTGGAAACAAGTATAATTCTTTTTTTATTTTTTAACATTTTAAACATCTGCTTCAATTTTGCTAGAGAATTACGTGTAAACATGACCACTGTGGCTTTGAGCTAAACGTACTGTCTTTGTGGGGATCTTGCTTTTTGTCCTTTCATAACTATGCCTGTGGGAAATGTTTTATTTCAGGATTTTTTTTATTATGGCTGAAATATAATACGTAAAGCACTCTTTGATTTTGATGATGTCAAATATAGGCATGTTTCAAATCCCTCTCAATAAATCACTACAGGGCTCCAGACTAACTTTTTCACTGGTAGCACCTTGTCAAAGGCAAAACATATGACTTGCTGAACATTTTCTTATCGATAGACACTGTTTACCAATGTTCCCTAAACGCCCTACATTGCAGACTGTGGTAGATGCTGCTTGGTGGCTGCGGTGTACTCAGACAGGTGTGTGACCAAAAATGACTTTAAAAATTCTGAACTAGGTCGTTCTAATGTCAGATTTGTCTGTGATGAAACCGAGTGATTATTTGCTGTCTTTTCTATGAGCGAAAAAAAACAGCAAATGTAGGTGTGCTCCATTTTTCATGAGCTAACCGCATTTTTAAGTGTAAGTACAGCTATTAAAGTTCTACTTCCCACCAGTGTGGTTAACATCAGCCTCCTGTGCCGGTTACAGTGGCACTAATACAGCTTAATGATGCACTCTCACCAGTGCGACCATTTGAAATTTCAACTCGCACACTTTCAAAAAATTATCGCAGTCTGGAGCCCTGTCACTACCATCAGACTCTCCTTTAGACCACCAGGCTGAGCATCTCTGTGTGGCAGAGAATAGGATCCTTCTGAGGGTCTCACTAATTTACTTATCCTCATTTCTCACAGGAAGATCAGAATCAGGTTTCACCAGCTGTTAAGTCTACGTGGGTACTTCAAAAAGTTTTTGGCTTTACCAGAAAACAAAACAGGATAAAGATTGTTATTGCATTATTTTTTCAACACAGCTTCATTGCACTGTGTCCACTGATTTTCAAGCTTTGCTATCCCTACGTGGAAGAAGGTCACATCTTGAGCCTCCCGACACTTCTTAATATGACTTCATCATCACTTTAAAAAAGGCGACCACGCAGGTGGGATTTCAGTTTGGGAAACAGATGTAAGTCAAACAATGTCCCTTCCGATGAGTAAGGTTCATGGGGCAACACTTCAAAGTCACATCTGGCTGCTTCTGCCACCTTTGTTGTGTGGACCGGTGCATTGTCCTGCAGCAACAACATGCCAGCTCCAAGCTTTCCTCTCCCTATTTCTTTGATTGCTTCAAACATTTGAGTTTTTTTATTTTTTACAGTGATATAAGGCCTTATAGTATACAGTTATGCCCTCAAATACGCCCCTTATTTCTGGGTGAGGCAAATGAGTTTTTTAAGTAAATTTTTGCTAAGTTTGTGACGGAAGTCCTTTGTAGGTTCTTAGTAACTAGTGAGAGCCTGAATTGGGTTGCAGCACTGAAACTTCAGAGATGTCCGGCTTGTAAAGCCTTTAGTAGTCAGATTGTACAGAGCACTTATGGTCCAAATAGATAGCATTTGAACTTTTGAACAGTTGCTGCCACTGAGTCCTGCTACTTATCAAACATGTTCCAAAGAATGGCTTCAGTTGCAGCTTTAAAACTAAAAGTAAACACTGATGTAGCACAATCTTTATAGCAGGGGCTGAAGCTCAAAGTACAGATTTTTCTAAATCGACACTCATTAAGTACTCAATCAACCTCAGCTATATATGTTAAAGTGCATTAATCCTCGTAAATGGCATACTTCCCAGTTGTGCTTTAGTCTTATTGGAATGACGTAATAACAGTTAATATATTTTATCTTCTTTTATCACTGGCTTTGGAAATTGGTATTTTTTCTGTGATTCATTTATTTTAAACTCGACACACATGTAAAACAGCAAGTAAAGGTAATATAATATAGATATTTTTTATTGTAGTTTAAATTAGGGCTGCAAGGTGGCGCAGTTGGTTAGCACTGTTGCCTCGCAGCAAGAAGGTTGCCGGTTTGCGTCCCGGTGGGGACACCGGAATCTTTCTGTGTGGAGTTTACATGTTCTCCCCGTGCAGCGTGGGTTCTCTCCAGGTTCTCTGGCTTCCTCCCACACAGTCCAAAAACATGTTGAGGTTAATTGGTGATTCTAAATTGTCTGCAGGTGTGAATGTGAGTGTGCTTGGTTGTCTGTCTCTAAGTGTAGCCCTGCGATGGACTGGTGACCTGTCCAGGGTGTCCCCTGCCTTCACCCTAAGTCGGCTGGGATAATGGGGATTAAGCGGTGTATAGATAATGGATGGATGGATAGTTTAAATTATTTGTAATATACATTACCAGGTAAGAGTTAGGACACACCTACTCCTTAATACGTTTTTCTTTATTTTTACTGTTTTCTATAGTGTAAAACAAAATTGTAGATTAATATAACAAACAAAAAAGTTCAGTTATGCAGCCAAATTTCCCATGTGGAACAATAAAATGACTTTTTGTTCAACTGGGAAACTTGGAGTTGGTGACACAAGATTAAGAAAAAACAAAACATCACAAGTACCAAAAAAATACTAAACGATTTCCGTACTTACAATGTACAGAACACACTAATATAACAAAACTATTTTTAAACTTACATGTGCAAATTAAGCAGATCAGTGGCACATTATAATTGTATTGCACTTGACACATGCTCCCCAAAGTCCACAGTCTGTAGTACGAGTTTGAAGCTCAAAGTAAAGCGGCTGCTCTGTGCAGTCTAATATAGATGTGGCCTTGTAGGGAGCCTGCTGGTTATAGATAGCTGTCAATTGTAAACAAACCTTGGTACACTGGTCACTCTCTCAACCAGCTTCGTGAGGTCGCCTGGAGCTTTTCCAACAATCTTCCCACCTATCCTTGTGGGCTGCTTTTCCTCCACTCCGTGCTCCACCAGGAACCAGGTCATGTAATGCATCACTCTACGTCTTGGTCAAACGGTCATACAGAGCCATGAGGGGTGTTTCTGGTTCTTTGTCCTCTTCAAAAAAACAGATGTTGCCACTGAAACAGGTGGGATGGTGTGTCTCTGCAGGAAGTTGTGGTAGTCTCGCTTGTTAAATGTTGCCTTCAGTTCTTTCTACGAACAGATTAACCTATTTCATTTACTCAGTTGAGCAGTTTTTGTTGTACTATGAATTTCTGCAGTAGCTGAATACAGCTGTTTGCTGTGTGCCAACACAAGCTCACTACAACACAACACAACTGATGGTCCCAAAAGCAACAAAAGCACAAGAAATTTTCCCTGTTAACCTTCGACAAAGGTCACCACCTGTTAACTGAAAACCATTCCAGGTGAAGGTGGTCAAGAAGTTGCCTACAGTGTGCAAACCTGTCATCAGAGCCAACAGTGGCTACTTTGAAGAATATGATCAAATCTGAAACAGCCTTTGCTTTGTTCACACTTTTTTCATCTTACAATTTCCTTACTACAATTACTAGATAATTCCATATGCATTATTTCATAGTTTAGGGGTCTTCTGTTTTGTTCTAAAATGGACAAAATAGCAAAAATGAAGAAATATTCTTGAATAAGTAGATGTGTCCAAACTTCTCACTTGTACTCTGAATACTACAATAATACAAGATAAGTCAATTTTAATAGAAAGGAATTTGCTTTGTGTTTGTAAAGCAATAGTTGCTTTGTGGTTTCAGCTGATCCTGGAGTTGTGTCATCCTGAGTCTCCTGCTGATGTTGAGACTGTTCAGCACCACCTGGACAGGATGCAAATGTTCGTGGAGGCATGGCTCATGGAGGTGATTTAAAATAAAAAGTATAGCTCATATTTCAAAAAAGTAGCATGCGTTTTAAAGTTATGCTTCAATTTTGGTCATTTCCTTTGCTGTCACGTTCCATGATATCATGTCTTGCAGGCTGGTGATACAAATATCGACTTGCCACACTCAGACTTTGTGGATCTTGTCAGGAGCTTGCTAAAAAATCCTGACCAGAGGGAACACTTTTTTCAGGTCAGTTTAGTTGTATATTGCTACCAATATATTAAGTGCAACATGTGTATCAAAGACTTATTCACTAGTAGTTTTCTGCTGCTAACGTGCAGAAATGTCATCCGCTACTGAAGTGGTTTCATTTTGTTCTTACTTGCTTCTGTGTCAGCAAAATGAATTGCTTTTGTCCTAATATAGTTTCTGGTTTTCAGAAAGTTTTCCCTGAAGAGTTTGGTCCCACATATGATAAAGCTCTTCACACCTTAATGTGGCGGTTTTTGTCCAGACTTGAAATGTTTCTTCCTCATCAAACTGTCCAACAGGTACAAACAAAAAGGTATTTTTAATATCACTTTGGGCTAGATTTATGGACATACATTTCCCTTTCTGCCCCTTATCTTTACTTCTATTTTCATTTTCTACAGGTTGCATCCATGCTGGGTGAGGTGTCCTCAGTTCTAGAGGACTGCATGCAGTCTGTGTTTCAGCAGGAGGAACTCAAAACTCTGCTGCAGTATCAAAAAGACCTCACCAAACTGGACCACAAAGGTAAGTTTTCGCACTTTTTGAGAAAATGTTAGCACTGAATGTGTAATAGAACTTTGCTTTTGGTGCTGAGGAGTATAATTGGTGTCCATTAGAGGTGCAGTAATATATCATGAATGAATGAATGGATGCCCAAATGCCCTTTATTGTCATTATACAGTGTACAACGAAGTTGGAGATATGTTGCAATACAAGAACATGGTTAAAGAGGAGTTTAAAGGTGAAACATTTTACAGCACCTGGTGTGGATCAAGTGGCAACTTCCAGGGCTAGAAAAGAAAAGCCAACATAAAATTCCTAAAAGTGTAGTACCTCCTATGTCCACTGGACGCTTGCTCTAAAACAGGGGTGTCCAATCCTGGTCTTTGAGAGCCACAGTCCTGCATGTTTTAGATGTTTCCCTCTTCCAGCAGACCTGATTCAAATGATCAGCTCATCATCAAGCTCTGCAGAAGCCTGATAACGATCCTGATCATTTGAATCAGGTCTGCTGGAAGAGGGAAACATCTAAAACATGCAGGACTGTGGCTCTCGAGGACCAGGATTGGAACCCCTGCTCTAAAAGCAAGTAACAGAAATACAGCTTTGTTTACAGCTTGGTCTATAAAACGGCTTTGTTCTCTACAGCTAGTTTCTTTGTTCATGATAACTGTACATGAGAAACATTGTTTTAAAAAACAAACAAAACATATTTACGTTGTTTACGCAGAGAGCAGAAATTTCTAGAGCCACATGCTACATCTGTGAGCTGACAATAAGTAGTCAGTTTAAAACATTCACCACAACTTTATAAGGTGATATTATTGTTATGCTAAGTATCTAACTTGTTAGGATGTCCATGTAGCCAAAAAATTAATGACTGCAGCTTTATAGATTTAGTTTTCTCTTAATGATGTGCTCCAGATGTATATTTATTTGAACAGGAGTGGCACTTGGGTCTCAACATTTGCTGTTTTCTAAGACTGTTTTTTCTCTTCTCAGAAAGTTTCTTGGATGGTACCTGTATCATCTCAGCCCTCAAGCTTCCCTTTGGAGAAAGAACGGAGACACTTGAAGTGCAAACACAAGACAACATCTGGGATGATGTGCTGACGTGTACGTCAGATTTGGAGAAGGGATCTTTAAGAATGTCTCATACAGCACAAAATAAAACTGACACAACCACAGATCACCAGTCAAGTGAGTCAAAGAACGAAAAAACTATTCAGACTTCTAAAACAAGACATGAAGAAAATGTAGACCTTCCAATTCAAGTGAAGGATGCTTACCCTCTAAAGGAGTGTCAGGTTCGAATAAAAAGACTTGACATGCCGGTGTCTTCACTTAGCCGACCTGTGAGACCAAACAGAGGCCTGAGAATGAAGAAGTTTCTGCTGGAGGAGAAACGAGGACTTTGTGAAGCTCTCCCTAACAGCAAATCTGCTTCAAGGAAAACAAAAGCGTCTAACAGGCCACCTCCAGCAGTCTCAGACAATAAGGATTCAAGCGACCTCAACAAAGACTCCTCCTATATTGCTCCTATCAGTGAAGACGACTCCTGGTCTTATTATTCCGATGAGGGCTCTTGCCATAAGACTTTTAACAGTGGTTCCAGTGAAGCTGATTCATGGTCTCACTACTCAGATGATGACTCTTCATTTGTGAGTCCTGTCAGTAGTGCTGCTGAAAATGATTCGAGTTGCTCAAATGAGAACCCTTTCCTCTTGGCTCCTAAAAATGTATCCGCTGCTGGCAGAGAGCCAGGCAGCTCCGACAGCAGAGGTAAACCTCCAAAAAAGATTCATAAAGTCCAGTGTTTTATCTGCAAAGACCATGTGCACACAAGCCTGAGAACTCACATGAAAATCCACTTTCCCACCGATGATTACGCCTGCCCTCGATGTGACAGCAGGTTCAAACTCTTAACATCTCTTAAGAACCACTTAAACAAGACCTGCTATGAGTACGGTCAGCAGCACATAGATCCAGAAAAGCCGGACGAAGCCCAGAATCTTTACAAATGTGACAAATGCGATGAGGCATTTAGGTACAAAGTTTCACTGCAAAGGCACATCCTAACCCACAACGAACTCTACTGCAGTGTGTGCAGAAAGGTGCTACGAGATGCAGCAACGTTAGCAAGGCACAAGGCCTCACACACTCTGTTTCAGTGCAACCGCTGCGATGAGTCCTTCACTCTGTTCAAGCCCTTGCTCAGGCATTGTGAAAACATCCATAAAATAAGCAGGCCATTTAAATGTAACCACTGTCCTAAAAGTTTACCCAGGCTGCGCTTTTTAATCATACATGAATGGCACCACACGGGTCACCTGCCGTTCCAGTGTGCTCAGTGCAGCTTGAGGTTCAAATCGGATGCAGACCTCATTTACCATGAAAGAGTTCACACCAGAGAGAAGCCCTACCTGTGTGCAGAGTGCGGCAAGACTTTCTCTCACAAGTCCAACCTGTTGAGGCACTTGAACCTCATCCACAGCGAGTCTCGAAATGAGAAGAAGCATTCTTGCTCTCAGTGTGAGAAATCCTTCAAAGAGAAAGGAGCCCTGAAAAAACACCAGAGGAGCAAACACTTTAATGAATTCTTCCGTAATCCGTGTCCGTACTGTGAAAAGATGGTCTCAGCGTCGACAATGGCTCGACATAAGTTAATCCACACAGGAGAGAGACCTTTCAAATGCACTGTGCCTGAATGTGACAAGTACTTCAGATCGACCTCTGAAGTGAAGAGGCATGTCCTTATACACCATACTACAGAGAGGCCATATAAATGTGAGGTCTGCGGAAAGGGCTTTGTAAAAATGTGTTATCTCAATGCACATGCAAAAATACATTCAGGAGAGAAGCCATTTGTTTGCCATATCTGTGGCAAGGCTTTCCCCAAGGTCTACAGCATGCTGAGACATAAAAAGCTGCTTCATACATTCATTACACATTAACCCTGTAGGGAAGGAATTGTTAAAGCAACGACAATCATTTAATCACCTGCCTAAGTCCTGAGCCAGGTTTGCGTACTAAACATTTCAAGTAAATCTTGAATAAATTCATGGTGTTTTCATTGGACCCAAGACTGATCAGTGCTGGACCACTGACTGTCATCCTATGCATGTAAAAGGTACTCCGCCTGTTTAGCTTTGCTCTCCTATTTCAGGAGAACTTGATTGCTGACGGTTCTGCAGCAGATTCGGGTGTGTTTTGCCAGGGTTTGGTTGAGACTGTGCCTTCTGGATAGGTTTTTAGATTACGGCAGTGCTGCTGTCTTTCATACTCTTAAGCAGTGTTTTGCAGGCTGAAACAATCCCCTTTGTGAACTGGTGTGTCCTGTGATTTCTCTCACACAAAGTGAGTTTTAAACAGCTTTTGGCTTCATATTTATCATATTTGAACACATTTTGAACTCATGCATGTGTCTGGAATAAAAAAGAGACTTGTGTTTCTCCTGCATCAATTTTGATCATTTTCAGACTGTCTGTTGTGTCTTACAGTTGTGTGATGTTGAACTGGTGAAGAACTGTTTGACCCTTGGAACCCCAAAACTCATTGGCGGGTATCTGAGGCACGTTATCTTATATAAAATAAGCAAACTACAATAAAGCACTCAAATTACACCATTTAAACTAAATGATCCTTGAATTACTCATCTGTGACTACTACTCCATTGGTAAACTTCACCAATTCTAAGCTTAAAAGGGTCATATTTAATCAAAATCACTTTACATGTTTAATTTCATTTCATTTCATTGAATTTCCCTTCTGGGATAAATAAAGTATTTTTCATTTAATTTCATTTTCAGCTGAGCTGCAGGCTGTGTTTAGACCAGATACAAAACAAGTGTGGAAACAAAGTAAAACTGTAAGTGGTAAATTATCTACACCATATGGATCAGGCAGTTCTTTCCAGGTTTTGTAACACCTGTGAGAAAAATGTTGTACATGTTGATTCTAGTTTTTTTGTGTGTGTGTTTTTTTATTTTTACATTTTGGTAAAATTAATAAAAACAATCAGCTTTTGTTTTATTTGTGGTATCTGACATTATAACTGTATCATACTACACAGAAGACATTTTTGAGTTATGTCTACTTCTAGCACTGGTTGTTCTGTTTCCTACAAGGTGCAGAATTTTAAACTGCAGTGAAAAATGAGCTCACAGTGGGTTTATGTGTGACAGGAACAAAAACCACCATACCTCAAATTCACAGCTACGTAGAAATAAAGATGAGCCCCCAGTACAGGGTACGATACTAAAGAGCAAACTGATTATAAATCCAGTAGACAGTAATATTCCATGGCTGAATGCAGCTTTAAGAAATGGCAAGAAGAAGAAAAAAGTCTAAATCTAAATAAGGCAGAGAAAATATCAACATGAGGTGCATATGGTCCTGACTTTATTCCAAGCAGATCAGATAATACATATAAACTTAAAGGCTTCCCTCTCTTATGACATCGTTATATGAAGAGGAGGAGGAAATGGAAGAGGAAGGTAGGAGACAACAAGTGGACAAAAACAAGTGAGCAAAATAAAAAATGAAAACAGGCAAGGAATCAGCAGAATTGTAATTGTTAAATGGTCAAAAGGGGTAAAGAAATAACAAAAGAAATAAGAAGTCATTTGTGGAATTGCTGGGAGAAAACAACTGTATTGGAGCAGGAAAAATAACATTGGGAAAATGATGTCATTCATTTATCTTGGATTATGTAGTTGAACAGTGTTTATTCTATTATATCTGCTGGAAATCAATCGTCTGACAATCAAAGTAAAGTAAAACTATGATTCAAAAAGAGAAAGAAAATGTGTTTTTATTCTCATGTATGTAACTTTTCCCCTTCCCTGGATAGTTTTTGGACAACACTTTGTTGTACTGCATGCAATAGGTGCCCCTTTACAGATAATAGCTCAAAATGTAATATCAAACAAATCCAAATCTGGCTACAGCAAAAACATTTTGTCAGTTTCAAACATTTATGTTAACTTTATGATGAAGAAAAGTAGTCCGTTGGTGAAAGTATTCTTTAGTAGGCACTTTGTACTGTTGTTTTGTGTTTGTAAAAATGCATTAAACCAAGAAATCTTTTGGCTAAAACATGACATGTCTGTCCAGGGCAAGAATACATATAAATATTATTTTAGGTTTTATCTACATGCGCAAAAACAAACAACCAAAACAACAAATTGTTATTTATTTATTTATTTATTTTAACGCGGAACTAATGAAACTCACACTGCCTGTGGCCGGACTGTTATTCCGGAAGGAACGCAAGGCAACCGTTGACGCACAAAGCTGACTTGGGTGACTTCGTTTGTTGGACAGAACCTCCCTAAAAACATTAAGTTTGACTCCGGTCGAGCGACGAACACTGTTCTCCGTGTTGGTAATGTAACGGCAGAGCCCGCACAGGATGGACGGAGCTATTTCTGAGTTAGCCGGTGAGTATTAACGACTACAGACCGATTTGTTTAGCTAGGCCGCAACGCAGCCCGCGCGCGGGAATAGCAATGCTAACGTTGTGAAGAAACTGATGTTTTTTAAAGACAGTTCACTACATGATACATTTAAATGGGATTCAGCCTGTCAATAATAACCCTCGCTTTATCCTACTATGGGCACATGTAGCTAAGATAAATGCAGTATGTTATTTAAGTCGCAGTTTGATTGTTGCAATGCCAACGCAAGCTATCGCTGGTGCTATCGTATGCTAATGATAGTTAAACTAGCTGCTGGGAAGTCAGACACTGAAGTGAATGTTGGTTTCGGGTGAACTGCGACAACCCTCAAACAATAGTCTAAACAATTACATTTGCTGACTGGATATATGGAAACATATTCGCAACGTTTGTGTGCGCTCTTTATCGACGTGTAATACAGGGTCAGTATCACATCACAGAAACGGAAGTCCGCTTCCACTTAGGGTTTGACACTACAGTTTTCCCCTATGAACTAAAACATAAAACTTCACTTTAGCATTACCCGAAATCTCCGTTTTGTTTATTTGTGATGTTGGTACACCAAGACACGATCAATGATTAAAATGAAACCTTAGTTGGTGTCATAAAATAACTCCTGTGTATGCAGTATCATATCGATTAGTTGTAAATTAAAGATGCATTTGAACATTGTACTTAGAATTTTCCAAATTCAGTGGAGGTTTCGGTTATGGGAAGTTTAATGTGTTCCCTATTTAAATTAGTGGCATTTTGACATACTGACTTTTCTGAAAGATAATGCACTTTTTGCGAAACTCAGAGCTGGGCCTCAACAAAATGAAGGAAATGTGTTTGTGGTTAACAAGTGTTGAAAATATACATTTGAAATACAAAAAAATGGCAAAAAGTTTTTCCAAAAATGACCCAGTATTATTTTTTTTATGACCTAAGACTCACATGCTACATGGTGTCAATGATTGTGAAACCGCCAGGTTTCAACAACTGTTGTGAAACTGTTTTTTAAATTTTTTTTTTTACTGTAGCTCTTAGGATTTCCATGACTTGAATAATTGAGAATTATTTGGGTGTGTTCATGAAATGTATTTCCCTGTTTGCAGGTCCCTCTCTTTCCCTCTCTTCTCTGCGCCTTCTGGTCCCACCGATTCGACTGGTCTCTGCAGCCATCTGGCAAACTGTGGAGCAGAAAGTTGTGTCGGACTATGGGCTGCTTGAGGAGTTTGTGTTTATGGTTACGGAGATTGTTCCACAACTTCTCTCCACAAGGCAGCGGGCTGAACTCATTTTGGGACTCAGAGCACGCGTAAGTTGAATGATTTTGTTTTTTAAAACCAATAAATATGTATCCATGGGCTGTGCAATGGACCAGAAAAATTTTATCCCATTAAAAGGTTTTATTTTCAATGTTAATCATTCTTAGTGACCTATTTTAATGAAGACCGGGACAAAAAAGGTTTACTTTGCTTTTGACTTATTTAGTCCATTTATCAAAGTACGTGGATGATAATATTATTACCTCAATGAAAAACAAAATTGAATACATTTACATATATTTTAAAAAATGAGGATAATAGAACAGGGCTGCAAAGTGGCGTAGTTGGTTAGCACTGTTGCCTCGCAGCAAGAAAGTTGCCAGTTCACGTCCCGGTGGGGGCACTGGAATCTTTCTGCGTGGAGTTTGCATGTTCTCCCCGTGCAGCGTGGGCTCTCTCCAGGTTCTCCGGCTTCCTCCCACACAGTCCAAAAACATGTTGAGGTTAATTGGTGATTCTAAATTGTCCGTAGGTGTGAATGTGAGTGTGCTTGGTTGTCTGTCTCTAAGTGTGGCCCTGCAATGGACTGGTGACCTGTCCAGGGTGTTCCCTGCCTTCGCCCTAAGTCAGCTGGGATAGGCTCCAGCCCCCCGCAACCCTAGTGAGGATTAAGCGGTGTATGGATAATAGAATAATAGGGTTCTCTACACACACATCCTAATGTCTAGTCCATCATCGCTTAGGTGGAGGTGGTGGGGTATAGAGTTGTGGGTGTTTTTAAACAAGGAAGTGACCAAGGGTGAGAAGACTATTATCAAGGGTTATGTCAGATTGTTTTCCTCTGGGAGGAGCATCTCATGCTTTTCAGTGAATAGGGAAACAGTGTATTGATAATTTTCTTATTGTTACTGATGAAGTGGCTATGGCTAATGCAGATACCAATATTTGAGGGGATCATAAGATGTTACAGATTTTCTCATTGTTCAATGCAATGTAAAGTGCTCCACCTCTGTGTAAACAGCATAACCATGGCTAGAAGCAGAGAGAATTCAAAAATGTCTTCTTTGCAGTATGACACAGAATGCCATGAATTAATAAAAAAAAGAAAAAATGAAGTTGAATTTCTTTGATTATTTAATTTACACATTTTTTTTAAATCTGTTTGTTTTTTTGGTCATATGACTGTCACAGCTGAGTCAGTTATGGCTTCTTAACTGCAGCAAGGAGTGCAGAATTGTATATTTTTGTAACACAATGTGGTGCAAACACTATATTTTTAAATGAGACATGTAGAAAAAAGTTATTTTGTTTAAATGTCACAATTTTACGTTAAAACTGGGTTACATTTTCTAACAGAATAACGCGTCAAAGATGACTTGCTTAAGGAATGTCAGCAAGTTGAAAATCTGACCATTTCTGTTTTTAATTCCTGGCTCTGCTTATTTCTGTCTTTTTTTTAATTTTTTTTTTTTTTTTTACATTTTTTGTTTTTATTTGTGTATTAAGATAAGATGCCTTTTAACTTCATTGGTGGGTTTTGGGATTCAGTGGGTTAAACATAAAACAGAACAGTAGGCACATGAGCATCTCTCAGAATCACTTGTTTACCATTGAGTCTTCTCTGTGGTTGTAGCTGATTCTGGAGCTGTGTCGCTCTGATGACACCGCTGACATCCATGTCATTCAGCCACACCTTGACCGAATGCAGAACCTCAGATCTTTGTGGAGTGTGGAGGTAAGTGTAAACTTTTTTATGGATGTGGTATTACATATTCTAATGTCTCTTTGTAACTGATTTAAATGTATTCCTTTAATATGGGCCTTTTTTCTTTCTCATTGTTGGGCATTTGCCATTCTTTTTCTAAAACAAACAATTAAAATCACAATTCTGCTCTAAAATGACATTCTCTGTTGTACATTGTCCTTAATTGCAGACTGCAGCAGAGCAAGACGTGTCTGACTGTCATTTCATGGGCCTTGTCAGAAATCTGCTGAGAGATCCTGAAGAGAGAAAAAACTTTTTCCATGTGAGTTTAAACTAAAAACTTTTGGTAAACGTGCAGATTAGTTTGAATATATTTGTTTTTTTGCACAGTCCATTATTAGTGATTTATGGATTTCTTTCTGTTCCAGGATGTTTTCCCAGGAGACTTTGGTCCCACGTATGACAAAGCAATCCAGACACTGATGTGGCTGTTTCTCTCCAGACTTGAAAAGCTTCTTCCAACCCAAACTCTCCAGCAGGTACCAATAATATGTCACTTTAAAACTAGCTTATTGCACGCAGCGTATTTTTTCTAAGTACTATTCAAATCTTTATTGTTTAAATGCATTCGGTGCTTATGTTTTTCTATTAGATAATCACAAGCACAAGTCCATAACTGTTCTCACAACTTAAAACATAGGCTTTTAGATTATAGTATTGTAAAACTGTATGATGTTACAGGAGCTTTTCTTAACATTTCAAAAATGCAGTGCTGTTTTTCTTTGTTTCAGATTGCCTCACTCCTCAGTGATTCCTCCTCTATTCTGAATGAATACATGGACACTTTCACTCAGCCTCAGGAGCTCAAAGTCTTGCTGGACACTCAGAAAGATCTCGGCCAGTTAGATGACATTGGTGAGTTGAATATTTCACTATCTTACAACAGTGTCACAGTAACATACCAGTTCTTTGTCATTCAGTGGTTTAGGTATAATTGCTCTTAGCATGTGGTGCACTGTTCTTTTGAATCTGTCATATTTCTTCATAAATGTTTCTTTTGATCTTTTTCTTTTCAGAGTCTTACATTGTTGACAGTGGAATCTTGTCAGCCCTGTGTCTCCCTCCTGTGGAGAGAGTCGTGATTGTCAACGAGCAGACGGGCACGGATGCAGACAGTGGCCTTGTGTATACTGTCTGCACAGAGATGGAGGTGGAATCAGAGAACAAAGAGGTGTACATGGAGGGAACTGGGAGCTCTGAACAGTGTGTGCAAACCCAGTGGTTCGGTCTTGGCACTGATGTGAAAGCGGAAATGGACACTGTGGTGGTAACAGATCCTGCTGAAGGTGCCGAGGCCAGCGAGAGTGAAATGGCAGATGACCACCAGGATGATCAATCCGAAACACTTATCATTGGGGAGGACGGCCAAGTGACAGTGCTGGACGGTGTGGAGAAGAAGCCAAACAGGCGTGGCAGGAAAAAGAAAATCACTGTAGATGAAGACTATGAAGTGGGAAGTGGAGCAAGAGGGAAAAAAGAAGATGCAGGAATTGATGTCTTGTGGGAAAGACCTGTGCGAAAGAACAGAGGACTCAAGATGAAACGCTACCTGTCACAGTGGAGGAAATCTGGCAAGACACAGGGCAGCACTGTTAACAGCGGCCCTAAAAAGTTTGCCAAAAGCAGCGACTTGGACGACAGAACATGCAAAGTGTGTGGCAAGGTGGTGAGTCAAGCCAAGTTTTTACAGCGCCACATGAACCAGCACTCGGAGGAACTGCCTCACTGTTGTCCTGTGTGCAAAAGGTTTTATAAGAGCTTGCGCTACTTGCAACAACATAAATGTACAAAGGGTGGCAGGAAATCCAAGGATCAAGAGACGGCAGCAGACATGGGTGAACAGTCATCTAGTGGGATGACAACCAGTGCAGAGCAGCCGTCGGACAGCACCATCCAAGACCAAGATTACTCCCTGTCTGACAAAGAATTAGGAGAGAAAAGCCCTGATGGAAATAAAAGTGTGCTAGAAGGTCCATTCTACTGTCCCCACTGCAGTGTTGAGTTCAAGTGCAAACAAACGTTCAGGTTCCATTTAAGAAACATTTGCTACACTGAGCAGCAGGTGGATCCTGAGAGACCTGAGGATGTTAAGCATTGCTTCAGGTGCGATGAATGCGACAAGGCCTTCAAGTACAAGTCGACATTGGATTCCCACAAACAGACTCACAACCCACTCTACTGCGAGGTGTGTATGAAGCTAGTGCGTGACTCAGAAGCATTGGCAATGCACAAAGAATCCCACACACCGTTTCAGTGTAACCGCTGTGAGGAGAACTTCCCTGTGTTCAAGGCCCTTCATAAGCATTACATTGACGCCCATAACCCCACTGAGCCTTACACCTGCTCCCACTGTCAGACAACATTTGCCAGTTTGAAGCGTTTTATCAGGCATGAGTGGAAACACACTGGTTACCAGCCATTTCAGTGCCCTCATTGCAGTAAAAGATTCCGATCATACTCAGACCTTGTGGAGCACCAGAAAAAACACACAAAAGCGTATCCATTCCTTTGCTGGGAGTGTGGCAAGAAATTCAGACATGGCGTTACGCTGACGAGGCACGTGGAGCGGGTACATCACTCCGGCGAACCTGTGACTGAGAAACCCACACCGACCTTCACCTGCGCTCAGTGTGGCAAGACCTTCACTTCCAGGAGGTGCCTTCTGAAACACGACAATTTCCATCACAAAGGGCTGCGTTTCCCATGTGAGCACTGTGGGAAGGGATTCTTTGGCAAGGACGCGCTGGTGAGGCACACTTTGATTCACACAGGCGAGAGGCCTTTCAAGTGCGATGACTGCGATAAGTCTTTCAGATCCGCTGCAGAATTAAAGATCCACAGGAGGTACCATACCGGGGAAAGACCATTTAAGTGCAACATCTGTGAAAAGGGTTTCGTTCAGTCCTGTTTTCTTACTCTACACATGCGAACCCATACTGGAGAGAGGCCATATGTTTGTACAGTGTGTACCAAGGGTTTTTCAAGCTTGCATGGCCTAAAAAGACACAGGAGACTTGTTCATGCATAGTTGGGTGTTTTTTGTTTTTTTTCATGATACTAATTCCCACAAGGATGTTCAGTTTATCAGTCCTTATGAAGGATGTCAGCATCAGCTGCAGACCAGAGCTTGAGGCATGGCTGAGGATTTAATCCTGTGTAGATGCTGACCATGATGGGAACATAACACCAGGTTTTCCAGTTGAAGGACATTTTCTGTAAAATGTCAGCCTCATTGCTATCGCCATGGCTGGGATTGTTAGTGTCATTGTACAGTGCATTATACAAATGTAACTTTGTATTTTTTACAGAAGAGTTTGCTGTAGCGCTACAAAAGATTTGTATGTATTAACAATATAAACATTCATTCCTTTGGGAATCTTCTTTTTTTTTTCTTGAATAAATTGAATGTTGCGTTCAAAGTGTCACTTATTTCTTCAGACGTGAGGTCATTCGATAGATCTTTTAGCATTTGAATTGCTTGCACATTAAATGTACCACAAATATTCAGTTGTCAACCACTAGTGTATGAATCATTAGCTTGGTAATCGATTAACTGGCCTGAGTAAATTTTCAAGATTGGTTATGGGCTAAACATATGAGGACATCATTTAGAGTTTTGGAAAGCACTACTCAGTATCTTTCACAGTGTTCTGACATTTTACAGACCAAACTATCATTAGCTGCAACACTATTGCACTTTTCTTTTGACAAAGAGGGAGAGGGGATTCAAAAAGTAATTCTCCAGAACAGCTGAACACTAGATTGTGCACATAATTGTGTTTTAGTATAAAAGCAGCTTTTAAGAGAATTAATGATACAAAGTAATAATTGTGATAAAAATGTCAGTGTGCTGCTTCACATGTAATAAAGCAGACAGGAAGAAATGGGCCTATTAAGCCCGGTAGAAATGAACAAAACATTCAGTACAATATTGAAAACTTATTTAGATAGCTTCCTGAGGCACCCCCTCTGCGGGGGTGCCTCAGGGTGGCTGACTGCGCTCTGATCCCAGCTTCCTGACAACCTGGGATATGCAAAAACAATTTCCGTTATTATCATTAGGACATCACAGTGGCTCTGTTTGCTCCATCACCTCACAGCGTCCCGGTTAGGACACCAGGTATCTTTCTGTGAGGAGTTCGCATGTTCTCCCTGTGCAGCGTCGCTTCCTCCCAGCGTCCAAAACATGCGGTTAGTTGGTGATTCTAAAGTATCCGTAAGTGTGAATATGAACGTGCTTGTTTGATTTCCCGTGTGGCCGTCTGTCGGCTGGGATGGGCTCTCAAAGACCGATCAAATCCCAGAATCTGGACGACAGCTCAAAAGATTCCACCCCAGATGGGACTCGAACCCACAATCCCTGGCTTAGGAGGCCAGTGCCTTATCCATTAGGCCACTGGGGCTTAATAACGTAAGCTGTCGGATTTTTTCATTAAGTACTTTAACCAAGATAAAACATGTACGTTCTATGATAATCGTATGTTTCATTAACGGACTTACGACATCTACTGAATTGTTACATAACGGACGATGAGGCGTCACTTTCCGCTTGTCAGTTCTTCTAATACGAGCCACGAGCATACTTTTGTCTTTAAAATTCTCTGAAACTCAATCTTCCACTTAACTCTGAAACAGTAACACTAGCGGCACACATCTCAGATGACCTCTGTAATTAGCATGACAACAAACTATGTCTTAATCACAAGTGATCAAATCAGTGATTACGGTCAGAAGTCGTGGTTCATTCAAACCCTTCTCTGATCAGTGCCTGTGTCGTTGAGACATGATAACTTTTAGTTAAATGTACTGATAAAGATGATGTAGTTATTTCAGCTTTCTGCGTTATATGCAATACGTTGCCATAGTCCAGTGAAACTCCCTTTGATCCTGGCTGGTGACCGCTCACCCAGCTGAAGCAGGAAACCAGCCTCGGTTGTTTTCCCTCTCCCTGCCCAGCAGACTCCGGAGGAATGGTAACCGGTTAGCTCATCGGGCAGCAGCTGTTTGATTCACTTGTAAACGTTTTTTTGGTATACGGTAGTTCTGTTCTAATAATGAATTTACTACCGTCTAATCCTCACGGGAACGGGCTCCTTTACGCTGGATTTAACCAGGATCATGGTAAGAAGCGTCCGTTTTTTTTTCTTCCAAACGGAATTTGGCAGCGTCGTGGATGCTAAGCTAACATTGCTAAGCTCTTTCATGAGCATAAATTAATCATAACATTATCTAACACCACCTTAAAATTATGTAGTGATAATATTGCTGTGCTGTTGCTTCTCTAGAAACCTTAAATAAAGAACGTGGGGTTAATGTTAGCTGTAGCTACCAGGTTGGACCTCTGCTAGCTAGAAACGTAACATTAGCTAGCTTTTTTTGTTTTCATCTATCAGCTAACCAGCTAACGTGTTAGCAAGTCGGGGGTTGTGAAGTTATATACCAACACATGATTAAAATATAAGTACAATAAAAAAGAAGAACGCATACGTAGTTAAAGGTGTAGGTGAACTTAGCATATATGCTAACGTTAGCAGAATTTCTATCGACCATCGCACTAGCAGTGCCTCGATCACAACATCGGCCATCAACTAGCGTTAGCCAGGCAACGCTAGCAACTAGCTTCACTTAGTTATCGTTAGACTACCACTGTTGGCCTAATCTGTTTGCTGCTTCAAAGAAAACCTTTTTTTTTTTAAATCATGTTGTCAGTTTGCAGAAGGAAAGATTGTCAATTGTTGTCAATCAGTCGCTTACGTTCCATAGTAATATTTACTTTGCTCCCCACCCACGCACATTTACACAGGCCCTAAAGTTAAAGAACCTCGACCGTTTAGTCTAAATCCAATGCCATCTTTATTAAATATGACAATCGTGACAAATCATGTTGTAAGACGTCTTAGAAACAACGGTGAAGTGACCGAAGACCTCACATGACCCCCATAGAGCCATGGCGCCCATTGACTACATACGGTGTGGCCGTTTTACATGGATTCCAGCAGAGGTTAATCATTTGTTCCATCTGCTGCGTTTAAGTGCTGTTTTCTCTGTGTCCAACTAATCTAATATCCCCAGTGTCCTCCTGTTGTGTGTTCAGTTCGCAGTAAAGGCTGGGGTATGATGAGGTGATTCCCATGGGAAGATGTTTGTGCAGAATCCCTGATATGCCCACAACAGATGATTAATGTTGTCTTAAGCTCGTGGTCCAGTTCTGACTTGTGCTGTTTGATCTGCGTGTGTCCCTGCAGGATGCTTTGCCTGTGGAATGGAGAATGGATTTCGTGTGTACAACACAGATCCTCTCAAAGAGAAGGAGAAGCAAGGTAACAGACAGCAAGACACTGACATTTATAGTTATTAACAAAGTGTACTGGATGTTGGTCAAACATGTTGTAAGTTGGGTGTTCACCAGGTACAAGCTTACTGTTGGATGACAATATACGTGTTTGATACAGGTTGGACAAAGCAAGGTGTGTTTATTGGTTAAATTGTGTATGTGTTCCCTGTAAAATTTTCAAATCAATTGTCAAATCATATCAATGTTTTTCTCCTATGCATCCATAGTTCACTGAAGTTGCTGTATTGCTTAATTGCTGTTTGAAGTGGCATGAGTAAATAAACCCAAGTTACCCAGCTGTAGCTCTTCTTCTGTGACCGTGTGCATAGTCCTCAAATGCCACTTGCTACTGGTTATTAGTAGTGAAATGTGGGTGACGACAAAGCACGTAATGAGATAGCAGAGATTATTCTGGCGTAATTTGAGTTCTGTGATTTTGTATGTAACCTGCTAACAGCTGTTAATCAAATCACTTGTGCGTACTTCTAGTTCTGGTTACAAGGATCGTCCTGTAAAAGTGGTTATTTAAATATAAATATCACAGAGTAGTAATGTATTTTGTGGTTTCCAAGACAAATTAAATATTGACTGTTTGCCGACAGTTTAATAAAGACGTTGCTTTAACATTTTAATCACAAACTGAGGTAAAAGAGGAATGCTGGACTCTGTGGTTGATGGCTAATTTGTTAAAAGGTTTTAGGTTGGTGATTGTAGAAAAACTTCTTAACCATGGAAGGATATAAGAGGAAGTTTTACCCAAAGACAGTTAAAAATGTGACTTGGCACATGACCTGTGCCAGAGTTACTTCTCTAACCCTGTCAGATTTAGCTGCTGTAGGTCAGCGGTTGCCCGAGTATTGTTCACAGGGCCGAGTGTGGTCTTTCTTTTCCTTGAGCCGAACCATGTGCAGCTCTTTGACAGTCTTTGCAACACGCAGCAGTGCTTTCCCGCTAATGTTCTGTGCACTGCTGCACGCAGAGGGATGCCAGTTTCACTGTGTGGAATGAAGGGGGTTGTTGTTTGCGCCTGTGCAGAGCTGAGCCACGAGAGATGAATAAGCAGTTGGGATTTAAATCGCTGTGCATCTGCTTTCTTTTCTTATTGTCGTTAAAAGTTAACTTGTTGTTTGCATCGAAATGACGAGGTATGACTTTGAGTTTCAGAGTTCCTGGAGGGCGGGGTTGGCCACGTGGAGATGCTGTTTAGGTGTAACTATCTGGCACTAGTAGGAGGAGGGAAGAAACCCAAGTACCCAACTAACAAAGGTATGTTGTGTCTGCATATGTTACTCAGTTCGATTGCTTTTGTCCCAACATCAGCAGCATTGTCAGTGCTGGACTTACACCAAGGCCTCTGCTCTAACATGATGACGTGTAGGACTATTTTCACATTGTCAGCGTCTGCACAGCTTGTTAAGTGTTAAAGGGGACACATCCTGCTCTTGGACATTTTGTTTATGTCAGAAGTCTGCTTTCCCATCTACCTAATTTTATATGCATTTTTGTATTTGTGCATAAACCCCTCCTGAAACTCAGAATATTCTGGAAAATAATTGCAAGTGTCCCAGATATTTTCATGCCTCTGAACTTGATGTACCAAAACAGCGAAATTTGACAAACAGCAAAAAAATAAATAAAAAAAAAAAAATCGAGTTATTGAATAAATGATGACGTACATAAAGCATGTGCCTTCAATTTCCACTGAAGCTTCGGCTCCACTGGAGAGACGAAAATGGCAGCAAATGTAAGACATCAGATGTCTGTGGGGCAAAGAGAAAATTGTAACCTTCCTCACAGTAACACATGAAGCTAACAGAAATACCATGTTGTTGTAATGTTTTCTACATTAGATTCACTGTTTGAGATTTAACTGTCACTCTTTCAGTTAAGTCAGCTCATTGCTTCCCTTTTCACTGCAATCATTTAAAGACACGTGATTGGAGAATTATCTCCACCAGCTGTTTTATATCAACAAACCAACTATTATTTAATATTATTAACAGTACTGGATGGAAAAGGGCAGTACTTGGTCATTTCTTTTATTCTCTTTGCATTACATGTGGTTTGGATAAAAACCTAACTTTACAGTATGTTATACATGATTTAAGCTCCAAACGTTAAGCAAATATATGTAAAAAATGCTCACTGCAAGTAAAATTTGCAGACTTCTGCCTGCTCTCAACCTCAAGTGTATTAAGGAGAACTGAATACTGGATTACAAGAAAATGCCTGACTCATTCAAATGAAAGCTGCACCCGGATGCTCTGCACATTTTCACTTCATTTTAAACTCGGAGCACAAATGACTCACAAGCTGTAGTAAAGCAAGTTTGCCACTACGCTACAATCTGACCTGCATGACACGGCTCCTTTAAAAAGTCCAAAAGTTTTGCTTCATTGTGGAAGAAATTCATTTAGTGACCGTTTTTCCACATGCTTCTGAACTGTCGCTTCATGTTTGCTGCAGGATCTACTCTGTTACATGAGGTTACACGGCAAATGAGCTGTAGTTATAACGTTATTAATCTCTTTACAGCAGCTTGATTTTAGAATAATCCTCATAGCTGATCTACATGATAGTGACTTGTTCACTGTAGTCACAAATACTGTTGCAGCAACTTTATTAGTCCAGGAAATGTGTCAGTATTTACTGCCACCCCTAAATGGATTTATAATCAGAGGAGAGCATTGCTGATACACTACATCTCTTCAGTGTGAATGTTGTTAGAAACACTTAGTCATTGTCCTGCTGCTGAATGTTAGTAGTGTATCTGTTGACAGACAATCAGCTCCCAGCCTGTGTTAGAATTTTAAAATCCTAGCTTTGTAATTGCAAGGCCCTCAGGTAGAAGTAGACAGCTGCCAGACACCTTTGTCTAACTTTATGCTGCAGAGTTTATCAGCAGGACTGCCACAGTTGGCAGTTAGACAGCAGACCCTGTAACTCCATCTCATCAAACATTAAGAGGCTCCACCTGATAGAACAAACAAGTACCACAGTTAATATACTTTCTAACAGTTAAGCTACGCGTCCCTCGTCTTCGGCCTTAGTTTCGAATACTTTCAGTTGATCACATTTTTACAGGCAATTAATTGACTAACAGTCACTTGTAAAGCATTTTGAATTCCATCTGATTAATTTGGAAAGTGTTTTGATTGATAGTAAGCAGCAGTGTCATGTTTTTGGTTTCAAAGTGTTTCCGCTTGTGATTGCGAGTTAATATACTAAACGTGAAGTTGTTGTGACAGTGGATTGTGCTGCGGGAGGTTGTCCTATCCTTTCTGTTGGATGACAATCAGCACCTTCAGACCTGTGGCAAACATTGCCACTGTTATTGCTACAGAAGCTTGGAAGGTCACCAGCTCATAATAAGCAAGTGCTGATATAAGCAAAAACCTAAACACTGTCTATCCATCCATCCAGTTTATTTGTATACCTTTTTTTTTCTTTCATTCATTTGTTCTAGTGATGATCTGGGACGACCTGAAAAAGAAGACAGTCATTGAAATTGAGTTCTCAACAGAAGTCAAAGCAGTGAAGCTTCGGCGGGACAGGTACAAGTCTGACATTAAAAGCTGCAATTTGACTGTCTACGGTCATGTTGTTGGGAGGAGTTCATTCCATGATTTGTTGCATAATGACTGCTGTGTAATACTTACAGTTGTGAACAAAAATGTACACACGGCTGTAACGACCATGTATATCATGGAGGTTTTGAGTTTTCAAGGATTCCTCTAATACTTATTTTTCTATGGTGGAATCATTGAAACACACGTGTCTTTGTGAAAAAAACAAAACAGCCAATCATGCATTTTGGGTCTCTTATAGATCTATAGGTCTTCTGGGAATATGACAACAACCTGCTGGGTCACAAATGTGAATACAGAACCTTGAATTATTAGTTTAGGTGATGTAGAAAATTGTCGTAATCAAAATGTCTTAGTGGCATGGCCTCTTAACTTTTTGTGAGTGATTAGGAT